GGAAGGGGAATGCTCATCCACTGTTGGTTGGGCTCCAAATTGCTGTAACCACTGTGGAAATCAGTGTGCAGAACTCTTAAAACTCTAAGAACAAATCTTCCATATGATCCAATTATCCCACTCCTTGGCCTATACCCAAAGGACTCATCCTACCACAGAGAAACTTGCACACCCATGTTTGCTGCTGCTCTTTTCACAGTATCTAAGAAATGGAAACAACCTAAATGTTCTTCAGCTGATGAATGGATAATGAAAATATGTTTCATTTGCACAATGGAGTTTTCAGCAGTAAAGAAAGATGAAGTCATAAAATTTGCAGTAAATGGATGGAAACAGAAACTGTTATACTAAGTGAAGTAACACAGACTCGAAAGCAAGCAACATGTGTTCTCTCTCATTTATGAAACTTAGTACGTCACTAAAACCTTAAAAGGGAATAAGCATTGCTTAGTATCTCCAGGAAAAGAAGTCTCACAACCGATGAAAAATTTGTTTGCTAATGTTATTGTGTCTCATGGTTATTAAAAAGGAAAATGGAAAATTGGAGGATGTTGGAAGGATATGAGAATGGAGATATTTTTTAAAGAAGGATTTATGTATGAAAATTATGATGGCTGGATATTTCCAGAATTGACAGAGAAATGAGAGAGCTGGGCAGGTGATGAAGGTCTGTGTAGGGTTGTTACAGTATAACAAGGATGAGACAAGGATAACGTATAGACAATCTTGAAATTTCCAAGGTTGCAGCTTAGTCAACTAGCCTAAGGATGTCTAGTCAGGGTTTATTTAAGGATGTTGCCCAAGCTCTATCTCCATAGCACATGGTAATTAATGTACCAGGCTGGTGTAACTAACCTTGTTGGATGTTTAATAGCCACACTCTAAGGCCTATGGTAATCTGGTCAGAGGGACTTTAAGGGACATTTTTTTTTCCTTGCCCTCCAAGGTCAAACAAGTTCCAGGGGCTATGGAGAATCTTTTGAAATGTCCTGTAACTTTGGTGAGTCACATTACCACTTGTTCAGGGAGGCCATGGATACCCCAGAAGATGGACTTTAACCGGTGTCCAGTCTGCAAAGAGGAGGGTTAACACAGAAGAAATACTTCCTCTATGCTTCCAAATGAAGCCCTGGCCAAGCACGACTTCTTGACTTATCATCACATAGATGGAACTAGTGAAAGAAAAGCCAGAGGAGCCAGGGACTCCCCCAAGCCTATGTGACCCCTGATGACCAAATCCTTATACGACCTTAAGAGTAAAAGTAAAGTGGTTTACTTGGGCCAACAGTATTGTCTTAAACAACCAAAAGGAAAGTATAACCAAAGATTTAAGGGGCCAATATAATTTTCATAAGGGTCCATATGCATAGCTAAAGACTACATAACAAGCAACAATGCCAGATAGGAGATACCTTCTTTTGCGCTGTTGGCCAAGGTGGCCAAAGGGACTCCAAGATAGTAACCAAGCATATAACTTGGAAAATGAACAGCAGACCCCAATCTTATTTAAAGGAATATTGACAATTGATTGCTGCTAGATGAGGACAGGTGCCCTTCCTAAAACAAAGACCTCTAAATAGGCTGACTATATTCACCAGACGGACAAGTAGTGGGAAATGGCTGGGGGTGCAGACAACACAGCAGACAGTAGCAGGGATATCAAAGTATAAGGGCTCTAGTGGGGGGAGGGAGGCTCTGGGAGGGTGCCATCTGGGAAGTGGGTGCATAGTTGAGTAAGATGGTTTGGGATGTTCTGTGTGATATACACACACACACATAAAAAACTCAACCAATTTTTTTAATGTATTATATTTGAGGAGGAAGCATGGAAATTTAATCATGTTAATTAGTAGAGGTGATAAACATTAACGCTGAAAACTACCTGATGACTTTATAGACATACACAGGTGCCAAGGATCCAAGTGCAACCGATTATGACTAGTAATAGATACATACAGATTAGAGATGCATGTGCCAACATCTCAGTGTTAGTAGCAAAAACAATGAGTTTTTCTATAAGGAACAATGTATTCTAAAATGAAATGGACATCTTCTTTAAAGGTTAAAAACTCATTCAATATTATGTCTTACAGGGCTTATACTGAGTTCAATATTGTATAACTGTATTAATTCAACTGTGAACCTAGAAACTTGCACCCACTTCTGAAAGAGATGTACTCTTGTTCTGGAGTATGTTACTGAATATGTTAAAGTTGTAATGAAATGCTTCTTCTAATCATGTAGTTATTAAAAATTTTTTAAAAATTAAATAATTAAAAACAACATAAAACAAAAGAACAAAACAAAAAACCCACAACTGGGCTGGGTAGATGGCTCAGTAGTTAAGAGCACTGGCTGCTCTTATAGAGGACCTGGGTTTGATACCTAGCATCCACATGGCAGCTGACAATAATCTGTAACTCCAGTTCTAGGGAATCAATGCCCTCCTCTGACCACGGTGGGCATTGCATGACACAGGTGCACTTAACATACATGCAGGCAATACACTCACACACATAAAGATTAAAAAAAAATTTTTTTTAGAGATAAAATAATAATGTACTCTTAAAAACCATGAACTTTATGTATCTTCTCCATGACTATATAAAAATACCTGTCAACATAAAAAGGTCTTTTTTATAAAAAGATGGGAGCCCCAAACAAAAGTGATTGTACCTTACCATACTGAAAGATCAATATGCCTGCCAGGTGTGATGGTGCAGGTCTTTAATCCCAGCACTCAGAAGGTAGAGGGAGGCAGGCGGATCTCTGTGAGTTCAAGGCCAGCCTGGTCTACAAAGCAAGTTCCAGGTCAACTGGGGCTACAGGAAGAGCCTGTCTCAAAATGGAACCCCCCCCCACCCCAAAGATCAATATGCCTATTATAGGCACTCAATTATGGGGAAAAATTCTATAGATCATACTCTTATTTTCAGCTTTACTTTAGCTATAAATTGTTGCTTAGTTTCTGGAAGGTGAATGATACAACAATGGATATCTTTCAAAAACAACATGTATCCAGGAATGATGTAAGCTGTCCTAAGATGAACAATGGGGGCTGAGTTTGATGGCACATACCTTTAATTTTAGGCTTTGGGAGGCAGAGGCAGGCAGATCTCTGAGTTTGAGGTCAGCCAAAGCTACATAGTGAGATCTTGTTTAGAAACAAACAAAAAACCCAAAGGATGAAAAATGGGCACATTAACATAATTTAGCATATGGTGATATAATCCTCATGTTTATTATCTGTTTTATAATTTCTTTCTCTCCTTTTTTTTTTTGTCTTTTTGGAGGCAGGGTCTCCCTGTATCCCCAGCTGGCCTTGAACCCAGAGTTCTGCCTCCCAAGTGCTGGGATTAAAGGTGTGCCCCACACACCTGGCTGAAAACCCAAATTCTAATCATTAGTAAAAGGAGAATACAATCTGGGGTCTCGCTTCATCCACAGAAAAGCTATCTGAGATTTTATTCACTTACCCACAATAGGACCAGGATTCACTCCGTATTTCACAAGCTGATCCAGTAGGTCTTCATTAGAGAGCTCTGTTACATCCAGATCATCTTTATCTTCTAGTCTGGGCTTATCAGTTTTCTTTGTGGCTTTCTGTAAATAAAGCCCAGATATCATCTCTACAGGAATTAGTGTTCATTTACATGTAATAAACAAGGTAATTATTGTTACATTAGGCCACAGTCGTTTGATTAAATTAAAACTTAGTATTTGAAAGCATTTCTACCTACAAGCCTCATATATAATAAGTAACTTTAAGAAAGACACTGGTATTAAAATAGTCAATTTTGGGGGCTGGAGAGATGGCTTGCTAAGCAGTTAAGAGCACAGGCTCTTTTTGCAGAGACCCCTGGGGTTCAGATCCCAGCACCCACATGGTGGCTAACAACTGTCTGTAACTCCAGTTCCAGGGGAATCTAACACCCTCTTCTGGCCTCCAAGGGCACTGCATGACACAGGTGTACTTACATATATGCAAAACACTCATACACATTTAAAAATTTGGGGGCTGGGGATGTAACTCACTAGAAAGAGTGCTTGCATAGCACATGCAAGGCCTTGGGTTCCATCTCAACACTCAGAGACAAAGATCTTTTTTAAAATTTTATTTTTACTTTAAAGTATTTGTATGTGTGTATCTGTGCCATGTGATACAGGTGCCCACTGATGCCAAAGGCATTGATCCTCCTGGAGCTGGACTTACAGGTGGTTATGAGCCACCCAATTATGGGTGTTGGGACCTGAACTCTGGAACAACAGTATAGGCCCTTAGCCACTGAGCTATTTCTCCAGCCTGAAAAAGAAATTTTAAATTGCCTATCTAAAGAAATATTCAAAATATCAAATATTCAAAAGCACTCCGTGACACAGATGCACTTATATGCAGGCAAAACACTCATACATATAAATTAACTTTGAACAACATATCTAATAATGAACATTATATATAGTTCATGTCTTTCTTTTTCTGAGACAAGATCTCAGTGTATAGCCCTGGAACTCACAGAGATCTGCCTGCTTCTGCCCTCTGAGTGCTGGGATTAGAGGCAAAATTTTTTTGTGTGTGCATGTGCCTACATGGTGGTCAGAGTACAGTGTTCAGAATTGTTTCTCACTTTCACTTTGTTGAAGCAGGGTCTTTCTTGTATCTGCAGTGTACTCCAGGCAAGCTGGCACATGAACTTCTAGCTGATTCTCCTGTCGCCCATCTCAGTGCTGGGATTAGATATACCACTACATCCAGTCTTTTTTTAAAAAAATGTGGGCTCTCATTTCCCTGCCCCACCTTTAAAAAAGTATTGTTATTATAGTCTATCTTTATAGTAATCTTTTTAGTCTTTTTTTTTTTTTTTTTTTTTTTTTTTTTAAAAAAAAAAAAAAAAAAAAAAAAAAAGAGGACGATAAATCTTTCACTGTGATATATCAAAATAACGCCTGCCTCTGCCTTCCGAGTGCTGAGATTAAAGGCGTGCACCACCACACCCAGCTCTTTTTAGTCTTTTAAAGACCCTTGAAGACCCAGGGCTTCATTCATGCTAAGCAAGAATTCTACCAACTGAGGCACACCCCCAGTTAATATACTGAATTTCTTAAAGGATATAATTTCTGATGGTAACAGAAAGACCAACATGAAAAGTTGCCAAGTAAAGCCACACTGGGTTTACATGTTTTCATCCCAACGATCATGAACACAATTTACCACTGACCTTCTCTGATAAGACTTAGAGCTTAAATGAATCTAGGAGAGTTTAAGATTTTACCATAAAGGTTTTTATATTTTCCTTATGACCTATGAATAAAGTCAGAGAGACTTTGTTGTTATACACCATCTAATATTATTTACCTCACTCAAAGAAAACCATCAAAAGAAGTTTTGTTTGTGTGTGTATTTATGCGTGGAAGCCAGAGGAACTCCTGAAGAGCATACCTCAGGAACGATACACCTGGTTATTCTGAGACAGGGTCTCTTCACTGGTACTTGTGGCTTGCTGATTAGGCTAGACTGGCTGGCTGACTAGTGACCTGTGTGTGTCTGCCTCCCCAGTGTTAGGACAACATACCATGGCTTTTTACAGTGGGTGCTGGGGATCAAACTCGGGTCCTCATGCTTGCCAACAAGCATTTTACTAAACTACCACCCCAGATCCTCAAAGGTAGTTTTGAAATAATCTGGAAAAACTAAGTTTCAAAGTTTAGTGAATGATGGTAGCAAAAATATAAGTACTTTCTAAAGACTGTGCCTAACAAATGTGTTAGTAATCCCATAAAATACTGAAAACCCAACTATTTAATAATGACCACAAATATCAAAGTCATTTAGATTCGAAATATTACCTATTAAATAGGGCTTCCTTATTACCTAGTAAAGTATCTTTTTACTTTTAAAAAAATATGTTCTTTCTGTTTGTACTAGGCAGTTATTGCACATACATTTTTATTTTCTCCAAACAGTGAAGTCCTTGAATTAACAGTCCCAAAGTATGATAGTTACCAAATTTTCAACTCCTCTGCAAAAGTCACCCCTATTTTAAAGTCTCACTTTGCTGGCTCTTTTTCTCCTGCCCCAGACAGGGTTAACCATGAAGGTAAAGCTGGCCTCAAGCTAATGCTCCTCCTGCCTCCACCTTGGGAGCTGTGAAATTACCACTATCTGGCCTTATTCTTCATCTCCGGCCAGTATGATTAAATGTGCAACTCAGGTAATTTGGATGTTGTACGCACAAGAGCACGAGATGGTGACAACACAATCATACTTTTAAAATGATACAAAACAATAGAGCCTAATCTATAAGCAGGTAGCTAATAAATGTTTTGTCAAATAATTGAAATTATAACCTACGTTATTGAATAAAATAATTGAATATTGAATTGAATAAATAAAACTGAATAAAATAATTGAAATTATAACCTATGGAAAAGCCCACGTCACTGGTTTTTGAAAATTCATTTATTATGGGGCTGTGAGTACAGTTCCCTAGTGGAGTGCTTGTCTAGCATGCCTGGGGCCCTGGGTTTGAATCGCCCCTCAAAAAAAGACCAAACCAACCCAAAACGGAATTTCCACAATAAAAAACTTCAACTGAACAAAGACGTTTTAAAAGTGGGTGATATACTTACATAAAGTAAATTGGAGTAGGGGTTCAATAATATACTATTTGCGATTAACTAGGTCTCTAGTTTCTTCCCTAATTTAACACCTAATTTCTTTTTCAATTTTAAAAGGTGGTGTATGCCTTTGACCCCAGCACTTGGGAGGCAGAGGCAGGCGGATCTCTGTGAGTTGGAGGCCAGCCTGGTGGACAGGGAGACCCTGTCTCAAAAAGACCAAAAAAAAAAAAAGCACAACTCAACAGTTCTGTATCACCTGTAAGAGTTTCTATTCTTTTTTAAAATCTTTTTTTTTTTTTTAAATGTGGGGCTGGAGAAATGGCTCAACAGTTAAGTCTGTGGTATACTTATATACATGAGGCAAAATACTCATATACGTTTGTTCTACAACTCATGTATGTAGTATCTTCAGCAGTAGGCTCTTGGCTACCCACCAGAACTTGACACTAAGACCCTACTGCTGAAGATACTACATACATGAATTGCAGAACAAACAAGGAGAAATCAAGCTGGCACTGACCTCAGAGTGCCACCTCTACTGGCTTTCATAGTGCTGGAAGCTGCTATGCAGGCTACTCGAAGAGAAAATTTATCACCAACTTTACCCAGCTGTGACTCATGTGAACTACAGCAACTGGCCTGGCAAGACATGCCCACTGGTGCAATAGTGACATGAATGTTATGTAAGTAATGAACAACTTTCTGATTAGATGTAAGGTCTGTTTCACAAGATGGAGCCCATACCTGACACTGATATCAGGCCTAGGAACCTGTGGCTAGAGAGGTCACAGGCCAAGGGAGAGAGAACCTACTATTATCATTCTGTTAAATAGATATATTAAACTGACTCCTAATGACCTATTGTTATACCCATTTATTAATGTATCTCTCAACCCTCCCCAGAGCTTCCTCATGCAGCAGCTAGTGATTCAGAGACCTGAAACTGGTCAACGTGCATAGAATAAGGGACTGCAGGCCACTCAGCCCTGAACAGCACACCAAAGGTCAGGGCTCATTGTGGAAGAGGGGTTTGGAAAGACTGTGAGAGCCAGAGGTAGTGAATGACCAAAAGGAAACACTATTCCAGACAGCTGCTCAGGTATTCATATGAACTCTCAATAATGGTGACAGCATGCACCAAACTCATATAAGCTCAAGTCTGACAGATTCCCAGAACAGAAATGGTAAGAAGTCCAATCCAAGCTGAGAAACTACTGGCCAACAGATAGCTACTGGGAGAGGGAGAATCATTTTCTTTAAGGGGTAACGCTGGGTAGGTTAACCAGGCTCCAGTGAATGGACCCACACTAAAGGCATTTGCAGACACAAATTTGATTTGATGGGCCTACAAAAAAAATTATAGATATATACAATATTGCTCTTCCAGAGGACCTGGGTTTGAATCCCAGCACCCACAAGGCAGCTAACAACCATCTGTAACTCCAGTTCCAGAGAATCCAACAGCCTCTTCTGAACTCCTTAGGCACTGCAGGACACAGGTGAACTTACATATATGCAGGCATAACACTCATACACATAAAATAAAAATACCAAATAATTAAAAAGCACATGAAATCAGGAGTTGGGTCATAAGGGGGAGGGGATACGGGAGAGGTCTGAATATGATCAAAGTATATTGTATGAAATTTGCAAAAATTCAATTAAGAAAGTCAGCCTGTGCTATAGGACACCCCACCTCAAAGAACCACCACCAACAAAACCACTAAGGAAACAAAAGAGCAGGTGAAAATGAAGGACCCAGGGTCATCAATGTGTACTGTTTAGGGGCTTCTCTGTGTCTGTCCCCCTTGGAGACAGGGTCTCATATTGCCCAAGCTGACACAAACTCCTGATCATCCTGTCTCCAACTCCCAAGTGTACTAGTACCCCTTGCTGTTCAAAGTCTTAAGTAATAGGCAGCACTGGAATTGAATAACTACACTCTGGGCGCTATGCACCGGACATTGGTGGGGCACACCTCTACTCCCAGCACGAGAAGACTGAGAAAGGAGGATCACAAGCTTAAGGTCAGTCTGGATAATATAACAAGAATTTGTCTAAATAAATAAAAAGAATTCATAATTGGAGACAGGGATGCAACTCAGTGGTAGAGAGCTTCTATGAAGAAGCTCGGTGGTATTCAAGCCCCAGCACAAAACAAAACAATCTCCCTACAGAATTAACGATCCAACTGACAGATCACTCAAAAATGTTACTATGCTCCACTGGATCCCTTTCAGCTAAACTTGCATGCTTTGAACGCTCAAACAACAAGGCTGACTGCCAGATCCACAAATGTTTACTCTTATGTCCACTATCTAGATAATTTCAATACCTAAAAACACAGGTATCAAGATGGATGATAAAAAGTCTAAAAATAAGAAAACAACAAATTTTAATTCTGTAAGCACCCCCCCCCAGTGAATCTAGATAAAACACTATGGTGGTGGCAGACTATGAAGCAATTTCTCCTTTAATTAAACGCATCTGCTGGGCGTGGTGGTGCATGCCTTTAATCCCAGCACTTGGCAGGTGGATCAAGGCCAGCCTGGACTACATTAATGAATTCCAGGCCAGCTGGGGCTACAGGGAGAGCCTGTCTCAAAAGACAAATAAATAAATGATTTTAAAAATTAAAAAAAATATATATGACAGGAGGCACATGATTTTAAGGCCAGTTTGGGCTACACAGCAAGGCCCCACCTCAAAAAACAAGTACAAACCAACTCACCCTCAAAATCCCATGATTAAACAGAAGGTATATGTTCTACAAATAGTTAATCTTGATCAAATTTAGCACCTGAGGGGCTGGAGCAATGGCTCAGCACTTAAAAACACTGTTCTTGCAGAAGGCCCAGGTTCGAATCCCAGCATTCACATGGCAGCTAACAACTGTCCGTAACTCCAGTTCTAGGGGATCCGACAGCCTCTTCTGTCCTCCACCGACACTGCACAACACGGGCATGTAACTTATTTACATGTAGGCATAACACCCATACGCATAAAATAAAAATAATAAAATATTAAAAACAAACAAACAAACAAAAAAACACACCAAATTTAGCACCTGAAAAAGCTGTCACACCTGCAATTGTCAAATGTAATTTGGCTTTCTCCTCAACTGTAAATAATATTGTGACCACATTTTATACCAGACTAAAAATTAAGTAAAATGCAAAATTACACCTGCAATTGTCAAATGTAATTTGGCTTTCTCCTCAACTGTAAATATTGTGACCACATTTTATACCAGACTAAAAATTAAGTAAAATGCAAAATATATGTAAAAGGTATGTGGCATACAGAATAACGTTACACAGGCCATCATTATAAATGTTCTACACTTCTTTTGAAATTCAAAGCATCTTCACTATGGCAAATTTAAACAATGCTTATTAAGACTCAAGTTAGAACTCCCTTTATTCATGTAGTTTAAAACAGGATATTACTAACTACCAATACCAACTTTCTCAAGCAGCTGGTATCACTGAGCCCAGCCAAGACCATACATTTCTAGGGCTTCACATACTAAAGGCAGAGAATACTAATCTACAGTTATGAGCACCACAAAAGAGAGAACTCTCACTACAGAGCTAGCTTGAGGTTAGCATGCTAAAGGGTATAAAAGTTACTCTGGTTTTTTGTTTAAATGCTGGGAATCAACAAAGGGCACAGTACGTGCTAAACAGCCCCCCCCCCCTTCCCCGTCAGGTGTGGTAGAGCACACCTTCAACGCCAGCAGAAGCAGGCCAGTCTAGTCTCCATAGTGAGTTCCAGGCCAGCTGGGGCTACAAAGAGACTCTAACAGGTATCATACATATTGAGATGGGTTGAGTAAGATAATTTTCTTTTTGAGACAGGGTCTCCCTGTAGCCCCAGCTGACCTAGAACTCACCATGTAGACCAGACTGGCCTGGAACGCACAAAGATCGCCTGCCTCTGCCTCCCTGAGTGTGGGATCAAAGGCGTGTGCCACTGCACCTAGTGAGTAGCACATTTTTTTTTACGTTCAAGAAATGATGACGGCTCTGCAGAAATCAATCTCCAGTAGAACACGGTGGTTTAAGCCTGTAATTTCAGCACTCAGGAGGCTGAGGCAAGGAGACTGTCATGAGTTTGAGGCCTGTCTAAACTAGAGATTCTATGTAAGAACGCCAATGAAGACGAGGTTTGTTTTTTGTTTTCGAGACAAGGTCTTAATGTATATTGCCTATGCAGATGACCTTGAATTCCCTCCTGCCTCTACCATGCTGGAATTTCATTTTTACATACAACCAAAAAATTTATGGCTTAATACACTTGGATAAAAGATCAATAGAGGATTTTATAGCTCTGTCCCTCCATGTGCCATTGGGAAGTATTTTGTTTGCAATGGAATCTGCATTAAAATAGTTTGTGACCCTTTAAAGAGTAAATGGAGGATAATGGGCAAGGAATACACTTCAAAAGTAAATTGCTTTGAGACAATATCACTAAGTAGCCCAGGCTGGCCTCAAATTCTTGCATTGTGCCTCAGCATCCCTCGCACTAGAATCACAGTGTACACAATGCCAGTACATGGAGGTGGGTGAGAACATTCCTCAATTGCTTATCACCTCATTTTTGGAGAGGTGAGCTTCTGCAGTGCCTGGCTTCTTATGAGGGTGATGGAGTACCTGCGCCATCTCCCTAGCCCTCTAATGTGACTTATTTTTTGTCCTTTTGAGACGGTTTCCCTGTAGCCCAAGCTGTCCTGGAACTCACTATGTAGACCAGGCTGTCCTCGCCTCTAACGTGACTTTAAACCCACAAAGAGTGGAATCAGCCTAGCTATCCATCAGATGACTCATTAGGAGAAAATATGCTATATATACATAATGAAGTTTTATTCAGCCAAAGAACAAAGTTATGTCATATGCAGAAAAATGGATGAAGCTGGAGACCATGTTAAGCGAAATAAGCTGTTCAGAGCAGGCATGGTGGTACACACATGTAATTCCAGCACTTAGGATCAGGAGGCAAGGTTATCCTTGGCCACAGCAAGTTCCAGGCCAGCGTGTGTTACACGAGATCCACTTCCCTTCCAAAAACAAGTATTACCTATTTTCCTTCATATGCAGAATCTAAATTAAAAAACATGTATGACAAAGTAGAAGGGGACTATTTGAGAGAAGTAGACTAGTGGGAGAAGAGAATGAAGGAGCAAAGCATCTTACATGCAGGAAAAGTCATAATGAAACCTATTATTTTGCATAACTAAAAAATGGTATGTTTGCAAAAATAACAGGTGTGGCTGGTCCGTATTTAGTCATTGGTTTTGGGTCTCATAAGGGTTAGGATAGCCTCGAACTCCAGATCCTTCTGCCTACACCTCCCGAGCTGAGGCACATGCCACCATCTTTTGATTGGACAAGTGTGTTTATTAGACATTGCTATGTGTCAGGCTCAAGGAAATTAGGGAAATGAAAAACCACGTCTCGATTTTCTCCATTAAATTCACATGTGCCTTTTATACGTCTTTCATGCTCAGTGCAATCGGGAAATTATATTAAAAATTTTTTGAGACAGGGTCTCATTATGTACCCTGGCTGGCAAAGAACTTTCTATGTAGACTAGGCTGGCCCCAACCTCACAGAGATTCATCTACCTCTGCCTCCCCAGTGCTGGCATGACTTTTTTTAAAAAAAGCAACATTAAAACATTGCAAAACTTTGAAAGAAGCAATTAGCTGGAGGTGTAGGTGAGTGGTGGTACACGCTAAGCTCTGAAGTTCAATCCTCAGCACCAAATCAAAAGAAAAAGCTGCAAACACTTTCGGTTATATTAGCAAACAGAAGCAACAACTCCAACCAAAACATTCACTATGTACCAATCAGTAGTTTTACTAACTACGTTCTTTTACGACTTGAAACTAAATACAAGCTAACAAAACAGTAACTAAAAATTACCCAAGTTTTAAAAACCAAACTAGGAACCAATCCTAGATTTGACTAGAATGAGACATTTCAAACTAATCTGGATACATCAGAAAATCAAACATTTTTTGCGTCCGAATCTTTTCTTCCTGAACCAAAATTTTAAAAGGGAGGAAAAAAATCCATCACCTCCAACTCTTCAAATGCACTTTCAAGCATCCGTTTCAACGGACAGAAAAGCTAACCCGCTGGAAGGCAGGACCCGTGGGAAAAAAGAGCTAGACAAATGAGGTTCAAACCGCGCTCCATAAGCAAAAACAAATAAAAAAAGGGCGGGAATACATTTCAAATTTTGGCCAGAAACGAGCGTGTCGCCGATCGCCCTCCAGGGAGCGCTCTGAGACCTGCCGGAGTCCTTGAGGCGACTAAAGCGGGAAACCGCGGCAACTTAACCGACAGGAGGTAGGCCGGCCTGCCGAGGCTTTGGAGAAGGGCCCGACTCCGCGTCTCCACCGCACCTCCCCGTCCACGCCGCTCGGGCAGCTCAGCCCTCGCCCCCGTCCCTCCTCCGGGCCCATTTCCCCGCCCGCGCCTCCCACTTGAGGCCGCCCCTCGCGGTGCCCTCCACGGCCTAGGGCAGCCTCGCGGCCACGGCACTAGACGGACAGGGATCCCGGGCGGCGCCGGTTCCGCGGCCCCGCGGCCCCGCGCGCGCCACGGCCGCCAAACGCCCCCTTTTGTGGCCCGGGCCAGGCGGCCTTACCCTGCCGACGGCGGCGCGGCTGCGGCCCGCGGAGGCCCCGGAGCCCAGCACTGGTGTGGGCTCGCGCTCCTCGTCGCTGGAGAAGTCAGGCGGCCCCTTGCTGTTGGAGCCCAAGCCGAGCGGCGGCCGATTGCGCGCCGTGAGGTGCTGCAGGTAGAGCTGCACGTACACGTCTTTGCGCTGCTCCCCGACCGGGAGCGTCACATTGTTGGCGACCAACTCGCTCTTCAACTTGTCTTTGGTGAGGACCGAAGGGTCCTCCAGGAACTCGGGCATCGCGGGCTCGGCGACGCGTCCTCCTCCACAGCCCCTCACAGCCGCCGCTCACGCCGGTGCGCGCTCGCTCCTGGCCGCCCGCCGCGCTGCCGGGGAGAGCGGCGCGGAGCGGTGCGGGGGACTCGGACACAAAGCCCGGCCGGCCTGGACACAAAAGCCCCGGGAGAAGTAGCGAGCAAGTGCGACCGAGGCGGGAGCCCGCAGCGAGCCTAGCCCACACAGAGGCAAGGGGCGAGCAGCCTGCTTCGCTCACGCCCCAAGAACACGCGCTGCCATTGGTGGGAGGTGTGAGGAAGCGCGGCGGTGATTGGCGCAGCGGCTCGCGCGGGTTCCAGCGGCCGCGGCGCGGAGCGCAGGAGGTAGAAACGCAGTTTAAAAGGCGCTCGGGCGGGAGCGCAGGCGCCGGGCGGGTCTCACTTATCCACCTTTCCCCTTCGACGCCCAGGAGCGCGGCCGGTGCCGCTGTACGCAGCGTCTCTCCTTCCCCAGCCGAGAACAAGCGGGCATCCTCCGGGTGGGACGGCCTACCTGACGCCTGCCGTGACGACCCTCGGCCGGGCTGCCCGAGACACTGAGCGGCCGGACCATGGCCGCAGCCTGGCTCCGCGTGCTAACCGGCTGGGAAGGGCAGCGCGCGGCGTCCCGCTCCGCAGCTCGGGAAGCGGCCCCTTCTGCTCGCAGAGCCTCTTTTGTTCGTAGATGGGGAAAGCAGACCCCGAGTAGCTGGGCCTTTTAAAACGTACTTGAGTTTGGGACAGAATTGCATCTTTAGGTCTTCCCTGAGGTTGGAGCATTGCTAAATTCTTTGAACAGTTACTTAAGGTGAATCCGTGCATTGCATTTTGAAAGCTGTCTGGGTGAGATTTCCCCCCACCAAGTATCTTACAGTAACTTCATCAAACCAAATCTTTCGTAATATACCCACAGGAAACGCAGTATTTAGAAACTCCTTTATGGTCAACTTCATGTGCGCCTAAGTGGTGCATACGAGATTTTTTTATTTTAGAGGAAGCCAGGAACCCTAATAAAATTCATGCTATTGATGCAAGTTAGAACTTGGTGGAGTCTCAAATATGCTACAATTATGTCGTCCTGAAAACACAATACTGGGGACAAATGTTCTCCAATAACACAATTATATAATTATATAATTTTGTATATGGATGAATATGGTCCTGCATGTAAAAAAGTCACAAAGTTCGTTTTATACAACTAATATATGCTAATAAAATGTATGTTTCAATTATGAACATTTTTAAATGTATATATTTCAATAATATATAGAGAATATATATATGCCCACGTGTACACACACACACAATGTTTCAGGACTCTTCCTAGGAGAGGAAGAAACTGGCCTCAGATTGAGACTATCTTAATCATTCTCTTAGACTCTAAGCTCCAAATTCTGCTTTATAGTTTGCATTTTTTAAAAGATGAATAAAATGAAAATAAGAATAGAAAAATACTTAAGAAATGTTTATTTCTGCATGGTTGGGAAGACATTTAAAAGATAAAAATAGTCCTGTAAATTTGAACAAATGTTCTTTCATTTAATGATAATTTTCCTAGGGCAATAATTCATTATATTAATTCATCTCTTTAAAAATCCCTGCAGTATTCACATATATTTAAGCAACAGCATTAAGCTCAGTAATACAAACTAAAAATAGTGTTTTAACAAGTTTTTGTAGATTTTTAGGCCTTGTAAAAGTTACTTCTTTTTGGCCACCATAGATAGCTTCCTTGGGTTGTGGAGCGCAGTGCTTTTATCTTCTGGGGAACTGATCTGAGAAAAGCCTGACTTTGCCACTGGTAACTCAAGTCTATTCGTGTGGGGTTGTCCCAGTGTGCAGCATATCTCTAGCATGTGTTCCTGAGGAGTTTCAAATTAGAATGAAAGGAGCAACACAGTCCAGAACTCTGCTTCTATCAGGCCACCGAGTTGACAGGTCTATTTTGTGATCTTTGAATTAGCAAATTATCCTGTTAAATTGTAGTCTTTGTAGTTTGACTATGGCTTGATTGTATGGTAAGAAGTAAGTTTGCTATTCTGACCAAAATGGTTCCATTCCTAGGGCTAGCTTTGATGAAGATGGAATTCTTAACAGATTGTCCAGGCTCTGACAGCTGCCCTGTTGGATGAGAATACAGGGGCAGCTAAGGGCCCTGAAGCAGATCTTTGGAGGAGGAAGTATCAATGATACTTGAGGATAATACTCTTCTACCTAAGTTTAAGAAGATACGATACTGGAGTCTCGGTGCCACATCAGATTCCCCCGGAACTGGAGTTAAGGACGGCTTGTAGCTGCCATGTGGGTGCTGGGAATTGAACCCGGATCCTCTGCAAGAGCAGTCAGTGCTCTTAAGCACTGAGCCATCTCTCCAGCCCCTCTTTACATATTTCTAATTATTTATTATTATACTGTATGTGTGTAGTCAATGTGGGTGGGGAGCGGCACATAGAGGTCAAGAAGACAACTTTGTGGAGTCAGTTTTCTCCTTTATGTTGGTCTGGCTCTTGAACAAGCATATTTACCCATTGAGCCACCTCTCTAGGTCTGCTTGTTTGTTTTTTGAGACAGAGTCTTGCTATGTGGTCCAGGCTGGACTTGAACTTATAATCTTGCCTTCAGCCTCCCAAGTATTACAATTTGTGCCACCATTGTATACCGTTCTGTCATGTCCTTAAATAACTATCAAAAGCATGGTTTTTAAGACCATGCAGTATTTCCTCATATGGATAGATCAAAAGGCACTCATGGTTTGAATCTGGAATGTCCTCCACAGGCTCATGTTTTGAGTACCTGACCCCCAGCTTCTGATGCTTTGAAGGCTGAAGACTCTTTAGGAGATGGGACATGGTGACAGAAATAAATCATTAGGGGTAATACCTTTAAATTAAACCAATCCCCTGCAAAATATGTTTTAAAAGTCAGGTACCTGGCATGTTGGCCCATGACTTTGATCCTAGCACTCAGAAGGCAGAGAGGCAGGTAGCCCTCAGGACTGGAGAGATGGCTCAGTGGTTAAGAGTACTGACTGTTCTTGCAGAGGACCCGGGTTCAATTCTTAGTACCTACATGGTGGCTACGAGCTGTCTTTAACTCCAGTTCTGGGGGATCTGAAGCCCTCTTCTGACCTCTGTGGCATTGCACGACATGGGTGCACTCACATACATTGCAGGCAACACACTCATACAGATAAAATAAAAATAATGAAATATTTTTTAAAAAAATATAAAGAAAAGATTCTATTAGTCAATTTTTAAAATTCTTAAAAATATTTATTTTTAGCCGGGCATGGTAGCGCACGCCTGTAGTCCCAGCACTTGAGAGGCAGAGGCAGGTGGATCTCTGTGAGTTCAGGGCCAGCCTGGTCTACATAGTGAGTTCCAGGACAGCTGGAGCTACAGGGAGACCCTGCTTCAAAAAAAGACAAAAAAAAAAAATATTTTTATATGCGTGTGTATCTCTGTTTGGGTATGTGTACATGAGTGCAGGCATCCCTGAAGCTAGAAGGGGGTGTTGGGTTGCCTGTAGCTGGAGTTCTAGGCAACTGTGAGCTCCCAATGTGGGTGCCAGGCACTGAACAAGGATCAGTTAAGAGCAGCAAACACTCTTAACCACAGAGCCATCTCTAGCCCCCTGTTAGCCAGTTTTTGTCACTGTGACAAAATGCCTGAGCAAATCAATGAGAGGAAAGATTTATTGGGGCTCATGTTTTCAGAGATTTCACCCCATGACTGGCTGGCTCCATCCCTCTTAGGCCCCTGACAAGGCAGGAACATTACCACAGAAGGGCATGGTGGAGGAAGCTTCTCACCCCATGTAGCCAGGAAGCAGAGGGAGAAAGGCAAGAGGAACAAGATAGGCCCTTCAAAGGTATCCCCTAAGTGACCTCCATCCTCTACCAGACCATTCAGTATGAACTGATCTATGGATTAACCCCAGTGATGAAGTTAGTGCGGTCATGATCCAATCCCCTCTCAATGGGGCAACCAGCTATGGACCAAGCCTTCAACATATGAACCTTTTAGAACACTTTGTATCAAAACCATAATGAAAAGCCCATGTGGTGGCGCACACCTTTAATCCCAGAACTCAGGAAGGAGAGACAGGCAGATCTTTGTGAGTTCAAGGCCAGCTGGACTACATAGTTTCAAGCTAGCTGGGGTTACAGGGAGACCCTGTCTTAAAAAAAAATAAATAAATAGAAAAAATCATAATGAATTCTGAATTAGTACTGACCATAATGCTTGTAGTAGTCCCATTGGGAGGCCATCAAGATGGTTCAGCAGGTAAGGGCACTTGCTGCCATGTCTGATAACCTGAGTTTGATCCCCAGAACCTACAAGGTGGAAGGAGAGAACTGACTGAGTAAGTTGTCCTCTGACCTCCACAGGCCTGCCATGAAATGCACCCTCCCCCACAAAAAATAAAGTCGTTCCGTTGGGTAGTGGGCCACAGATGAATTATTTTCTTCTTTGTTTTTCTATATTTTCCAAGACTTCTATAATGAACACATATGAATTTATAATCACAAATATTTTCCTTTTTAAATTAGTGCAAGAGGGCTGATAAGATGGCTCAGTTGGTAAAGACACTTTCCACCAAGTCTGGTAACCTGAATTTGATCCCCAGGACCCACATGGTGGAAGGAGAGAACAGACTCTCACAGGTTTTTCTCTGACCTCCACAAGCATGCCAAGGTACTAGTGCACTCCCTCACCCAAATAAATAAATGATAACTAAAACTTTAAAAACTAGTGTGAGGGTTGAGTGTGAGGACACGTACCTCATGCCTGTAGTCTTACCACAAGGAAGCTGAGGCAGGCAGATCACAACGAGACCTTGTCTCGAGGGGGGCAAAAAGTGGGGGACTGGAGAGAGAGCTCAGCAGTTAAGAGCACTGACTGCTCTTGCAGAGGACCCAGGTTCTAGTCCCAGCACCCACATGGTGGCTAACTACTATCCTTAACTCCAGTTCCAGGGGATCCAGCACCCTCTTCTGATCTCCACAGGCATTGTACAACACTGGAGTACCTCCATACATGCAGACAATATACTCATACACATAAAAAATAAAATATTAAAAAAAAAGGAAAAAAAAGTAATGTGAAAAGCTGGGCGTGGGCATGCCTTTCATCCCAGCACTCCCGAAGCAGAGGCAGGCAGATCTCTGAGAGTTCAAGGACAGCCTAGTCTACACAGTGAGTTTCAGGCCAGCTGGGGCTACAAGGAGACTCTGCCTCAAAAAGACCAAAAAAAAAAAAAAA